AGTCAAGACTGAGCTCATCAGTAGCCTAACTTTGTCCCCCAAAATCAATACAGATTTCCCCATGTTACATAATGCAATATGTGCTTTCCTGAGAAGTTGGAGGTAAATCAGTCCCCCCCCCCCCCCCCGCCCCCCAGTTCAACTTGTCATCTGGTGAACTTCTGGTTGTCAGCTCAGTACTGTACTGAGGCTGCAAAGGGACACACACCACACATACACATCAACCATGATCTTGCTCTCAAGGTACCTACGTTTTACCAAACCACACCATAAACGGGCCAAAGGAGCTTGCAAATGCATCACATGGGAGACCCTTTTATAAGGCAAAGAACCCTTTTAACACAGGAAGAATATGACCTAGTCCACATTCCTATTTACTTGCATATTTGTATCTGTCAATTTGGATTTTCATGGTAAAGGCCTTTTCTGACTCTGGCATGTGGCAAGCTGATAATGAATATTTGTTGATTAAATGCACATAGTTTAAAATCAAGGCATACTCATATTTGATCATCACATCTGTATGGGTAGGTAACTCATAAGGACTTTTCACATATTTGCAGCTATTTGTTCCCATGAGAAGCTTGCTGGGGAGGAAAAGCAGCCCTTCTCACAGGTAAGACAATTTAAGCCTGTAAAGAGCAGCTGGCAGGCCTCTCTGGTGGCTCAGTGGTAAGGAATCTGCCTGCCAATGCTGTGGGGCAACGGTTGGACCCGTGATCTAGAGCCCCCAAGCAGCTGCTGAGCCTGCGTATCACAACCAGAGTAGCCCCCACTTGCTGCAACTATAGAAAAGCCCACACAGCCAAAAATAAACAAATATAAATAAAATAAACTTTAAAAAAGCAACAGGCTTCCTCAAATCAGTATCTGAAAAGTCTGATGGAAGTTCAGTCCAGACTTGGCCAGCAGGAAAAGCCCAGCAATAAAGTGACGACAATTTTAGCTCACTTGTCCCCTTGGCTATCTTGATTGCATGCCAAGGGGACAAGTCTGTCTTCCCAGGCATCCAGCCTGGAGGCCCCTAAAACTTCAGCCGCTCCCCCCCCCTCCTTTTTTTTCCATATCCTGTTTCCTTCCAGGGTTAGACATTCAACTCTTAACTCTGTGCCCTATTCCCCATGACCCTGCCTTGGCCCAAATGCCATCTCTCATTTCAGGTCCTCCTTTTGGATGCCTCTCTGCCCTTGAGTACATGTATTTGGTTGTCACTTAGCCCTCCCTTTATGACAGACACTGGGCTGGGGATGGGAGATACGCAGCTAAATAAGACATATTCCCTGCCTTCTGGGAATATGAGTGGACAGTGCCATGAAAAAAAGCTAGATGGAAGACTCAGCAGTGCTTGGGATGACATTGACATCTGACAACAGTGCAGGGGAAATCTGGGTGGGGTTTTGAAGGATGAATAGGAGTTCATCAGGGGGAATTCTAGTGGGAGAAAACAGCAAGGCAAAAATGCAGACGCATGAATTAGCAAGATGTGTTTAGGTCCCTACCTGGATCTGGCATAGGTAGGGTGCGGGTGAGGAGACAAGAAAGGTAAGGCTGGAAAGGGAAGTAGGGCCAGAAAAGAGGGTATTTTGATTTTATCTTCTGATGGCCCCTGCCAAGTTTTTAGGTCAGGGCCTGATGTGTTCAAGTTTAAATTTTAGAAAAAGTACTCTGATAGCTGTGTGGGGAATGGATTAAAGAGCTCAAGGCCACATTTGGTTTTGTGCACCATTGTAACTCCAGCATCTAGTAGGTGCACTGGCAGAGTAGGTGCTCTTGTATGCTGAAAGGATAAATGAGTACCCAGTTAGCAGTTTACTGCAGAAATCCAGGAGAAGGTCCTGAACTAAGATCATGAGAGTGGCAAGAAGTGGGTTGACATGGGAGAGGTACAGGGTTTGTATCAGACAGGAAAACGAAACCTAGGCCAGGAAGTTCAGTGGAAAAAATTAAATTGCAGAACTAGTTATAAAGGTATTAGAAAAACAGAAACAAAAATAGAACAAAACACGGTATGGTGGGTAGCCCGGAGATGAACAACATTATAAAGCAGCTTTCACCCTAGGGCTGGAGAGAGGAAATTGGTGTCTTTTGATTCCCAGGAGCCAGAGTGCCTAGAGTGAGCTAGGACCACAAAGAGGCAGAGGGCACCATGGTTGGGTCCCTCCAGGAGGCAGACTCAGAGATAGAGATTAGAATGCAGGAGGTTTATTACGGAAATGCCTTTGGAAGGGGAAAGAAGGAAAAGGACTGGGTGGAGAGAAGAGCCAGGCTGGAGGCAATCTCAGGGATGAACTCAGTGGACCCTTAATGGGTGGGCTAAAACTGGGATGCCCTTCAGAGCTGGCTCAGATTTGGGCAAGGAGGCCGGACCTGTTTACTCTACAGTCACCTGTTACTGGACCTCCTGGGAATGGAGTGTGAACTTGGGCAAGGTAGCCCTACTCAGTCAAGGCAATTTCCAAAACGCCCAAAAGGCACTCTCAGCGCCCCCAGCGTAGAGGGTGGGGTGGGTGTGGGTGGATAAATCCTTCAGTCCTGTAGGGAGATCTTGGCAGCAACTGGCAAGAGCCACACACAGGGGCTGGCTGAAGGCGGGTGGGGATGGCTAGGCCACAGAGGAGGTGCAGCCAGGGCCCAGAGCAGCACCTCAAGGGCCTCACTCCAGGCAGAACAAGGGAGCATGAGAAGTCTGTGGGGGCAGTCCCAGGGAGCCAAGCAGGGGACGGCCAGGGGATGTCTCTGAGAGCAAGCAGGACTAGGACTGGACCCAGTGACAACCCAGTAGGGGGCAGGGAAAAGGTGGATTCAAGGGGAAATGACTGCCAGGGATTCTGTCCCCGGGGATGATGGTGGCAATGTCTTTCTCTTAGAAGAGGCAGTGAAGGAGGTGCACACCTTGGACAAAGAGGCTGATGGCCTTTGCTGAGTTTGGCATCCAAGTGATGATGCCCAGTGGGCAGCTCAGTCAGTTTCACTTCAGTCGCTCAGTTGTGTCTGACTCTTTGTGACCCCATGGACTGCAGCAAGCCAGGCTTCCCTGTCCATCACCAACTTCCGGAGCTTGCGCAAACTCATGCTTACTGAGTCCTTGATGCCATCCAGCCATATTATCCTCTGTCGTCCCCTTCTCCTGCCTTCAATCTTTCCCAGCATCAGGGTCTTTTCCAATGAGTCAGTTCTTCATATCAAATGACCAAAGTATTGGAGTTTTAGCTTCAGCATCAGTGGGCAGCTTAGTAGATCGTAAATAACTGGCACAGAATGAACTTGAAAGAAGGAAAACCTCGGGTGGACTCTCTTTTGGTTACAAGATCAAGTGCAGCCTTCTCAGCAGGCATTGGATATTTTCTCGGATGATTTCTGCAGGTTCAGCTCCACCCTTGTAGCCAGCCTGACCTCTTAACTTCAACCTGATCCTTCCCCACATCCTGCCTTACCTGCCCTGCCCACCCTCCTACCTCCCCACCCCCCTCACTCCGTGCAACTCCTTTACAACCCCAAATATCCCCCCAGGTCAGATGCTTTCTAGATGGAATCCTAACTCTACAAATTGTAATCTCTACTTTGAGTCCTCACAAGTGCTTTAAGAGCTTGAATGCATTCAGAAGGGAAATTTGACCACAGTAAGTAACTTAATCTTTGCATGCTTCTCTGTGAAAAGGGACAAAAAATAACTCCACCGGGTAGTTGTAAAACTTCAGTGTCAAGAGCTTAGAACAGCACCTGCCACGTTACTGAGTTCAATTACTGTTAGCTACTGTTAATTTTCATCTTCCTCATCCTCAGCCTCTAGCTTAGTAGATGCTTCATTAGGGCTTGCTGAATGAATGGAGACTTAATATGGAAAAGGATTTATCCTTGGGGCTCGACCTGGTTTTAGAAAATGAAGCATTTAGCAGAAGTAGAGAAGGGACTCTGATAACAGTTATCTATGTTCGGTGTCCAGGGACTCCGAATTGACCTGGTTCTCGAAAGAAGAACGACAGCGTCTAGGTTGTTTTTTCATGGAGCTCTGTGCAGGGTCTGACACATCTCGCGCTCACCCAAATCAGGTTGCACGAGTGCATGCACACGCCCCGGCAGGACTGCCTGGGTGTAGGCAGTATCACTATCTACCCGGTCACCAAGGAACCGGGTTAGCCCCGGGACTCTAGACCCTGCTGCGCCTGTGGAGGCTGCGGAGGAGGCATGGGGAGGGGACAGGAATTCGGCGACGGCCACGTGGGCCCCTTCCGCCCTCTCCCCACATCCTTTGTTTCCCACCGGCCGCGGCTCAGGAAGCTCTTTCTGCGAGTCACCGCGAAGGGGCGGCCGGGGAGCCGGGAGAAGCTATTTCCGTGCAATCCGGGCGGGCGGCAGGCGCGGGAGGGGCGTGGAGGTGGAGGAGAGCAGAAGGCCTAGTGTTTGCTTTTATTTCATCCAACAGAAGGTTCTATTTGTGGAAGCGAACAGACGCTGGGGATTAGAGCTGGGAGGGGGCAGGAAAAGGAAAAAAAAAAAACACCGTCACATCCACTACAACGCATAGGTCTTCCCCGGAACTACCGCGTGGGGGTGAATGAGTGATTCTGGAATTCATCACCTTCTCTTTCCTCCCTTCCTCCGGCTACCGCCGGGTCTCGGCGACGCCTACGGCTCCAACCCGAGGTCCCCAGGCGCGGGGCGGCGAGGGGATCCCCCGGGGCAAAAGAAGTCACCCTGCGGTCGCAGCGAGCGGCGGGTGCAGGAGAGCTGGTGCGCGCGCCCGCAGTCCATTGTGCTCCGAGTGAATGAGGAGCGCGCACCAATCACCGGTTGCTTCGCCTCCCGCGGCCCCTCCCCTCCCGCCCACTTTCCCGGGACCCTGACGTCACGGGAACTTTTCCTCCGCCTCCTCCCCCGGCTTCCAGCGCTGAGTCCGCGGCCTGCGGGAGGGCGCGCGCCGCCTCCTGCCTAGACCAGCCTGTTGGTGGAGGGCGGGGTGGGGGAGCGTGCGCGCGCGCCCCAGCGGGCTCAGAACTCACCACCTGCGCCGGAGCGCGCTCAGCCCGGAGCATCCCGGCCCTCGGGCCACCCCCCTCGCCCCCGCCGACCCAGCTCCACCTCCCCTTCCCGCCCCCACCCCGCTTCGGTGACTGCTCGCCCGGCGGCAGGGCCGGAGTCGTCGCAGCCACCTCATTGCACAACCCGGCTTCCCAACTGTTTACACAGCCCGGCCTGTGAGTGTGTGTGTATACAGCGTGAGTCACCGGGAGGCGGAGGAGGTGGAGGAAAAGGAGAAGGAGGAGTGCCCTGGCCGGGATCGGTGCGGCGCACACACTCACTCACACTCAGTCACTCTCTCCGAGCGCGTCTCGCTCGCGCACACTCACGCCGGGAGTCCAGAAGCGTGCCGGATCCCGAGCGCCGCGGAAAAGTTGCCCCGGCTTTCGCTACCAGACTTCTTGCTCTGGGAAGTGTGTTTGCTCCGTGGCTCCAGCGAGCCTACCGAATCCTGTGCTCGCCGCTCTGAACCTCGGGAAGGCCGGCCGCCTCTGCCTCTCCGGCTGTCGGCAGCTTCGACAACAATAGCGGCGGCTGCCGCCCCTCTGCGAGGCTCCCCGAGTCGGTACCCGCGGGGATCCGGAGACCCGAGCCGGCCTCCGCGCCCCGGACGCGCTGCCAGCGTGGTCCCCGCGTGCACCAGGAGCGACTCCAGCTTTGCCCCCGGTGGGGGCAGAACCAAACTCCGTCTGCGAACTCCATCCCCCGGGCTGGAGTAAGTCGCGGCGCCCGTCGCGCCTTTCCGCGCGGATCCGAGGACCTACAAAGCCGGGGCCGCCCCGGCACGGGTCGGGATGCGGGTCGGTCCCGTGCGCTCTGCCATGAACGGCGTCTCGCAGCCCCGCACTCCGGCCTTGCTGCTCGCCGCCGGCCGGGGCACCCCGGCCAAACGCCTGCTGGACGCGGACGACGCGGCGGCCGTGGCGGCCAAGTGCCCGCGTCTCTCCGAGTGTTCGAGCCCCCCGGACTACCTCAGCCCCCCCGGCTCTCCCTGCAGCCCGCAGCCTCCGCCCGCCGCCCCAGGGGCCGGCGGCGGCTCCGGGAGCGTGCCGGGGCCCAGCCGCATCGCCGACTACCTGCTGCTGCCCCTGGCTGAGCGCGAGCATGTGTCCCGGGCGCTGTGCATCCACACCGGCCGCGAGCTGCGCTGCAAGGTACGCACCCGGGGTCCGGGACCCGGCGGAGGTCTCGGGTGAGGGGGGACACGGTAGCAGGCAAAGGTGTTTGGGGTCTCGCCCGCCGGCGCCCGGGAGCCGAAGGTGCCGCCAGCGCCTGGGCTTGGGGCAAGGCGGTTAAGTGGGTTTGAGCCCGGGAAGGCAGCATTTGACTAGGATCTCCTTACTGGGAATTGAGAGGTTCGGATGGAGTGGTATAATTCGAACTCGGCGGTCAAGAGGAAGTGCGGTGCTCAGTTGCTTTATATCTATTAGAGATTATTTTCTTAGCGCCCAGTTTAGTGCGTGGCGCTCCATATAAGTTGTGGAATTGAACTGGATTCCAGGGCCATGCCATTCCCCTTTTCTCATTCTCCTCGGTCCCCCCGCCCCTCGTTCTGGAAGGGCGCCCTGCAGTGGGTGCCTGCTTGGAGCAGCTGGCAGCTCTCTCGCCGGGGCTGCGAGGCACCCGGGCTCTGCTGTGGGTGGTCAGGGGGCGGGAGTTCCGTGTCGGGCGCAGGTCTTGGGGATTCCGGCTGGAACCCGCGCTGGAACCGGAACCCTGTCTTCCCCAGAGACCAGTCTAGGGTGGGGGTGGCGGGGTCTTCCAGCCAGGGCGGGGGGATTTGGCCGGAATGGAAATGTTGGAAAGCCCGCACCGACTAGGAACCCTGGCTTCCATTCATGTCTTGATTTTCCGGCCAGCGATTTTCCTTTGGACATAAGGGATGCCATCCAATTGGAGGTACAACTGGAAACAGGATTCCCCGAGCTCTCCTCCTGCGCCGGTAGACGCAGAACATTCCCACAGTCCATCTACCTTTTGCGAGCTGGACACCCCGGTCTCAGACATTTCTGATAATCCTATGGGCTGCTCCTTTTCACCTTAAAGATAGGTTCACCCCTCAGTTAAAGACACTCGGGTTTTCTGCAACTCACCTGACCCCCAACTTCCCTGGGCTCGCTGCTGCCACCTACTGTCCGACTCGAACGAAACTTCAAATACATGATCAAGCCCAGTTTTAAAGGGGGAAAAAATTCTGTTCTTCTGGGTCGCTGGGGCTAAGAGCTCTTTTGGGAGGAGCATGAGTGTGGGCTGGGGGTGGCAGGAGGGGGGCAGCGGAGAGATTTCTTCGAGCTGGTGACAGAGCAGCCAGGCCTTAGAGATGGGGTGGGTCTGGTCATTGTGCAACCCCTTCCAGTTCCTCTGAGCAGATAATAGACGAATCCAGATGGTGACAATCCGTGTGTCACCGTTTCCAGTTGAGTCTAGGATATGAGTAACCGGACTAAACAAAAGGCCCTTAAAGAGACCAGTCAGCTTCTTAGAGGAGATGCTATCCGTGTCCTGGGTGAGGTGGGGGTGAGAATTGGAGGGGGGGAGGTAGATAAATAAACAAATGAATCCCCCCTGCCCCCAGGATCCTGTATCCGTCCTGTGGGAGTGTTACCTCAAGACTGATTATATCTGAGTCAGCCCAGGCAGGTTGCTTAGGGCTGTGTTGACAGACTTGGAGTCATTTGTTCCTTCCCAGTGATGACAGAGCTGCGTGTTCTCCAGCCCCTTGCTTCCATTTGGAAGCTGCTTGGTCGCCGCCTTCTGTGCCCTTCCTGCTCTGCAGGAGGTCATACCTTTCCAGGGACTGCTCCTGCAGATACCAGAGGCACCTCCGTCAGCCCCTTGGCACCCGCCAGTGATCAAGGGCCACAGAGGGTGGGGACTTCGGGGCTTAGCTCTCTGGAACTTGTGGAAGGCCATACAGAGAAGACTCTTTCAAACCATCCATATGGTGGTTCTTTGGATATTTGCTAGCCCAGAGCCCTAGATGCTTCTGGTTTGGGGGTGTTAGGGGTAGCTGCAACTGCATAAAGTGGGGTTGAAGAGCTAATGGGGGTGTGTGCGTGCATGCTAAGTCGCTTCAGTCATGTCTGGCTCTTTGCAATCCCCTGGACTTTGCAACCCCCTGCCAGACTCCTCTGTCCATGGGATTTCCCAGGCAAGAATACTGGAGCGGGTTGCCTTGTTCTCCTCCAGGGGATCTTCCCAACCCAGGGATAGAACCCCCATCACTTATGTCTCCTGCATTGACAGGCGGGAAGTCCACCTGGTAAGTCCCATGTCAACCAGAGTCTCCAGATTGAGAATTGCAGCTCAGCCCAGGAGCTGGAAGGCAGCCTCTGCTTCTCTAGCCTCCTAAGCAGGTCCACTTCTCTCTGCAGGTGTTTCCCATTAAACACTACCAGGACAAAATCCGGCCTTACATCCAGCTGCCATCACATAGGAACATCACGGGCATCGTGGAGGTGATCCTTGGGGAAACAAAGGCCTACGTCTTCTTTGAGAGGGACTTTGGGGACATGCACTCCTACGTGCGCAGCCGGAAGAGGCTGCGGGAAGAGGAGGCCGCCCGGCTTTTCAAGCAGATTGTCTCTGCCGTTGCCCACTGCCACCAGTCAGCCATTGTGCTGGGGGACCTGAAGCTTAGGAAGTTTGTCTTCTCCACCGAAGAGAGGTGAGCGGCACAGCCTCTCCTGTGCCTTTTGGAACCGAAACAAGGGTGCCGGTTGAGTAGTTAGGGGTGGTTCGTTGGCTCAGATCAACATCAAGGGCTCAGTTGTCCCAGAGTTAGTCTTGAGAAGTCCTCCCTTCTAAGCAGCCAAGGCCCCAGCTGGGTTTCCTGCACCTTTGTGGATGTGGCCTGGGGACAACTTGGTGCATTTGTGGGATGTCACGTGAGGACAGGTTACTCTCCCCACTTCCACCCTGGGATCAAGTTTATTCCCCATTGTTGTCAGAAAGGTCAGTTCTTCTCTGGTACAAATGTCAGCATGACCTTCACAGCATCGATTCCTAGAGGACAGTTAAAAATCCTTGTTTATACTGAGTGCCTTTTTTTTTTTTTGGTACCTAGTAAGTGTCACAGCACTGGTCAGACTGTTACATTTGCAGAAACCTCTCCCTCTCCTTCACCCCACACTTCTATTCTGTGTCATGCTTGGCCCCCAATATTTTCTCCACTTTGTCTGGTGACTTTTTAGGCATCTTGTTTGGATACATCTTCAGAAAATAGCCACTGTTGAATAAGAAATGGAAGCTAGATGGAATTGGTTGCTAAATATAGATCATGGCTTACCTCATAAAAGAACAAGATGAGTCCGATAAGACAATAATGAGACATTAAGATTCAGAGTTGAGGTTTCAGACAAGAGAATTCAGGAAGCCGCAGGAGATAAACCTTACCTGATTTTAGGAGGTGGGCCACATCCCTTGTGGAAAGATTAAGAGCAATACCACTGTGGGTGGGTGTGCACTCTGCTATTGTAGCTGTTCATGCAGGGCTCACCCACCTGTGCCATTTTAGCCGTGACTCCAGATCCTATGAAAATGTACAGGGTTGTTGAGTTGCCAGAAAACCTGACTTTGTATCTGACCTTGCAAGAGTTATTGGAACATACTGATTAGCAAAGAAAAGCAAAGTGTTGGCAATGAAGAAGTTTCCAGTTCCTGGAACACTCTCCTTTGATATGGTGATGTATTTTCTGAAACATGCCTTACACACCTCCTTGCTTACTTTTGAAATCCACCATTGCACAGGCGAATGTCATGTGCGTGGAGTTTGGCAACCCGAGGGTTAAGCAATGGCAGGCTGACGCTAGCAGTGTAAGCAGCACAGGTGCAGGGTTTTAGTACTACGGGAACCAATCAGTGGCAGCCGGTGTGGGTTGAGTCATATTTTCCGTTTACAGAACCAATGGGTATTTTACATAACGACGGGGGAGGTCAGGCTGAGGACATACTGAAGTTAGCACATGTATACTACACTCCAGGGAACAGGAAGGCAGGAAGGAAAAAAAAAAACAACTAGACCTTTAAGAGGAAAAGGAATTGACCCAGTAGCCTCTACCAAATATTTGTGTCCTTCTCAACCAATGATTTACTGAAACAAGGCTATTTCAGAGAAACTGGGCTGGGGGGACACAGTGGCCACCAGATATTGGAGGCTCCCCACGGGGCTCTGGGCTTTGGGGGAGCCCAGGAGGCTTGAGTGGCTGGATCTGAACAGGGAGGCACCTGCAGCTTCATCCGAGAGCCTTGACTAAAGATGTTTCAGATTAGTTGTTACCTGAACAGATGAATCCCTATCTGGGTAAATGAGCTCAGGTGTTGCTCTGCTATCCTGGGGTGTGTGTATGTTTGTGTATGTGTGTGTATGTGCATGTGTACACGTACATGGGCATTTTAGGCGTCCTGCATCTTTCAAACCCACCAGCCGCTTTCTTTGTCTTCTTGTCCTGCCTAAGCATTCTTTGCAGTTAAATATGCCAATACACATAATTAACATTCCTCGTTCTTTTCCTAAGTCAAGGCCATTGTGGGCTGGGGCTCAGGTGGACAGAATTCTCTCTCTGTGTATATATCAATGTGAGCAGGAGTGCTGACAATCCGTGTGCAATATCAGTGACCTTGGGCTCCATGTTCTGTAATGTTTTTTATTGCCAGGCATCTGTCCTAGTGACCCTGGCAGCCAGTGGCATGATAAGAGATAAGATCGGCTTATAGGATGCTCTGGCTCTCCCTGAAGCAGTAGGATAAGCTGTTCTTCCCCAATAGCTTTTGGAGAAATGTCAGTATTCTCCTGACACAGACTCCCACTACTGCAATCTGCACTTTGTAAATTGTGTAACCCCTATTAGGATATCTCTTCTAAGCTCTAGCATCATGAATAGTATTTGGGGCTTTGCATCATACCCTCCACCCCAGGCCCTCTCTCAATACTTTGCTAATTTTTATTGCAGTTTGTATTGGTTTGTGAAATCTGGAGTCCTCCTGGGTAGGCTGCAAGGCAGTGCTTACTGGATGAAGGGGTAACTGGCACTCCTTGGGCCTTTGTGTTGAGTGCCTGAGGGCCCTATTATTGGGAAGGAAGGCCTTGTGTTTCATAGCAGGTGGATCTGGAAGTAATGGCTTGTTTCATGTCTTCTACAGAACCCAGCTCAGACTGGAAAGTCTAGAAGATACACACATAATCAAGGGAGAAGATGATGCTTTGTCAGACAAACACGGCTGCCCAGCCTATGTGAGCCCCGAGATTCTGAACACCACGGGGACCTACTCTGGAAAGGCAGCGGACGTTTGGAGCCTTGGGGTGATGCTCTACACCCTTTTGGTGGGGCGCTACCCCTTCCATGACTCAGACCCCAGTGCCCTTTTCTCCAAAATCCGACGTGGACAGTTCTGCATTCCTGACCACATTTCTCCCAAAGCCAGGTGCCTGATTCGCAGCCTCCTGAGACGGGAGCCTTCGGAGAGACTCACTGCCCCAGAGATCTTACTCCATCCCTGGTTTGAGTCTGTCTTGGAACCTGGGTATGTCGACTCAGAAGTAGGAACTTCCGACCAGATTGTTCCAGAGTACCAGGAGGACAGTGACATCAGTTCCTTCTTCTGCTAATCCCCAAACCTCAGAAACCTCATAATTCTCACACATGGCATTTTCCATTTCTAAAGATGGACAGGCCTTTTGGCGTGGGGCCAACCAGACAGGCGATGGCCTGGAGACGGTGGCTGCTGAATTCACCGTGGCGCCCCTTCTTTCTCATCTTCCGGATGCGTGACTGAGGAGGTGAGCAGCGTACACTCTGACTGTCTGCCCTGCAGAGTTGTTTTCCTCAGTGAACCTTCTCCAACTATCCCTTTGTTGGATTTGGGGGTTCCGCCTCTTTTCTGGGTGGCACGGAGTATGAATATCCTGCAGCGTGTGATGGAGTGAAATGAACTTGAACATTCTAAAGGGAGAGGAAATGAATCACACAATGGCATTTTGGGCAATAACTATATTTTTAACAGGGTGACAAATTACTTGGGCCAATAAACCTGCCATCTTCAAACTGGTTTTTGGTAGCCAGGCTTTCGCTACCCCCAGCTTCTCTGATTGGAAAATTGTTTTTTTCTGGTTTGGTTTAACACTCACCCTTTCTTCATGTTTTTGGAGCAGACTGTTTCAGGGGCATAGGAGCCTGCCTGAACCATGAACCCAGAATCATCTCTCCTTTGTGTCCTGCCAAGACCCCATTTGCACTAATGCCTTCTTTCTGACCTTGAAATGAGCCCCTTCCCCTTTCACTTTAAAAGCACTTACCAGCTAACGGTGGAAGAGTATCATAAAAGATTCAAGCTCCTGGCTGTTTCAGAACTCTGAGCTCAGACAGAGAGACTGGAGACTTTTAAAAAGAATTTGAGCACTTGGAAACCATTAGCTGTTTTGGTTCCCCTCAAATATGTTAGCATTTATCCTTTCCTTTTTTCCCCTAAGACCATCTCAGGGTGGAGCATTTTGTCTAGGAGGAGAAAGATAAGAAGACTCCCCTCTCCCAAGAGCAAATTTTTGTGCTTCAGAGAAAGTAAATTTTGGATAGTCTTAGATAGCTCTCAGACTGACTTTCAGAATTAGTCTTTAACCACCCCCATGGGTCTGGTCTGCAGTTTTGCATGACAGGTTGTTAATATTTCAGCTGTGGTGTGGTTTATGAATGCATCTGTTTCATTGGTATCTGGAGTGAAATAGCAAGCCCCAAATCTTTAAGGTCAGAAGGGACTTTAAAAGTCATCTAGTCCAACTTCTTTCCTTTCTCTACCACCTCCCAATGTAGAAATCCGCCCCACCCCCCCGCCATGCCCCAAATTCTTTCACAGGTGGGACTCCAACCTCTGTTTGAATGCTTCCAGAGATGGGAACTCACTACCTACAGAAGATAGAACAGAGAAACTGCCACTTCATTAAAAAAACAGATGAAATATCAGTAAATGTCTCAGACAGTACTGAAATCCGGTGGTTAAACGGGTAAACCAAACATACTGTATTTTGAGAAATGGCACAAAGACAGGCAGTCACCTTTAAGGGCTACGCCTTAGGCAAACTACTAACATGCATTGTGAGAATACCGTGTATACCTCACGTACCGTGTACTCTGTACATATATTGTACCTTTTATACATTTGTTGTTGTTGTTTTCACTCTGACACTTGTTCTGTTGTCTGTGTCTGTCTGAATAACCTGCGTGTCTAATACCACGTGAAATGTGAATGATCATTGGCAATATTACCTTGACAGAATCATGGGACTTGGAGAAGAAGGAGGACAGAGACCTCTGTCGCACTAACGCTCTCGTGGTTGCTTGAATGTTGTATCTGTGATACATGACCCGGCTAAGGACTCTGGGTTTGCTGGGGCTTCGAAACACTAGACCCTTCCTGTACATGTGTATATATGTTGAGACGGCCATTTCCGACTTGTAGAGAAATTTTAATAAATCTGGTTTCGTAAATAGGTGCAGTGACTTTCTTTGGGGTCCAGTCTACCGTTACCTGGTGTAGTTTCATGCTGGGGATGCAAAGGTCGCTGGCTTCGAGCCTCGAATCTCAATGGGGAGATGAAGAAGTAAATAGCTGATGATTATAGATGACCTTTGACAGAGCTGAACCCATTCACTTTTTCCATTGAAGTAGACAAATTCATTTTGATGGGTGAGCCCAATTTGGTGAATCAGGTTGATGAGGGCTATGGGTTGAATTTAAGAGTTGAGAAATATTTGAAGAGGCGCATACATGAAAAAGTCTTGAGTTGTAGGAATCCCTCTGGCTTATGGTCTTTTACAGACCCTTGAGAATTTGATGAAAACTGTGGACACTTATCAGAAAAACATCCATGTGTTTCCAACAGACTTCTGTTGTAATTTCAGAGGTCTACATCCATCCCTGAAGGTATCACAGGACTTCCTGTTGAGAGCCAAACTCCACCCTTTCCTCCCCCATTAGACTTAATTAAAATGGTTAGTTGAGGCCTTTTTTTTTTCTTCTGTAAATGTAAAAGTGGAACTAATAGGAGGAAAGCTAAAAGCAACATTATTTTGAATCACAAATACAGAAATTGGAGTTGATTAGGTATAAAGCTTCACTATGACAACAAAATCTATTCTAAATGAAGTCAGTTAGCATCCAGAGTGATTTTTAAGAAGTTTGTAAAGTTTAACACATATCCAGAAAATGTAGAATTGTGTGGCTCTGAATTTTCACAAATCAAACATACTGGCCTAAACTGAAGTCAGGTCAAGAAAAAAGAAACATGGCTAGGACCCCTGGATCTCCCTCCTACCCCTTTCAGTCCCACCTGACACCCCGTCCAGGGGTTACCGTGATGAAAGTGAACGTGTTAGTCACTCAGTTGTGTCCGACTCTGCGACCCCATGGACGGTAGCCCGCCAGGCTCCTCTGTCCATGGGATTCTCCAGGTAAGAATACTGCAGTGAGTAGCCATTCCCTTCTCTAGGGGAATCTTCCCAACCCAGGGATTGAGCCTGGGTCTCCTGCATCGCAGGTGGATTCTTACCATCTGAGCCATCAGGGAAGCTATGGGACAGAAATTTAATTCTAGATTCTAATGGTAAAAGTTAGAATAAGGATTAAGCCATCCATTCTGGGCTTAAATGAAAAGGCAAACAGAAATTACAGATGACACAATTGCCCTTTTCTAGGACTCAGGCTGAGATCACCCAGGGAAGCAGACCTATGACACCAAAGTTGCAACTCAGGCCTCATGACCCAGGAACTTGAGAAATGGAAAAAGCACGAAGCAAAGAATAGGCAAATGCCTGAGTGGTTAAAAAACGAGGAAACTGGGAGTTGAGCTAGGGTCATCCCATGAATAAGATCCTTAAACCCCGAAGTTCCTGGATCCTCAGGACATACGGTGCAACTTCTCCCTGCCCTGATGAACCCAGGTGAGGCTCATCACAACTCCTTGGGCGCACAGAGGCTAACACTTTGGACTTCACCAAGTTTTTTAATCTAAGGATTTCAAAACACTTTGCAAGCAATTAATGTTACAACACCTCTTTGTACTGTTGTTACATGAACCAAGTGGAGGGAAATATGTGTCAGGATTGGCTGGGATGACATGTGATGCCACAAATCCATAAATTTAATGTCTTCAAAGGTTGAAACAAATCTGGGGCAATCACAGCCAGTTATTAATACATTATAGAAGATTGGAAGGAGAGTGTGCCATGCACACTGATTGCTTTTATTTTCCCTTACGTCCTCAACGTAAACTATTCAAGTGACATTTCAGTAACTGTTTATTCATATCATTCTAGAAGTTTCACTCTTTTTCTCCCCTGTTCCTTCTCCCTCTCCTTCTCTCTCTTTCTCTCTACCCTTTAATAGTCACAGTAGCCAAGTGAAACAGGCAAGTCAACTAATATTTGCTCCATTTTACAGATGAGAAAACAGACTCAAGTGTCTTTCAGCAGCTACTTAGAAGTAAGCAGCTAAGGGCTGGGACCTGATCTTAGATCTTTGTACTCCTTGTCTAATGTTGTGACTATCTCTGCACATATGGCCATTTAAATTCTTCTGGTAAGAATGATGATTGGAGAAGATGGTTCAAGACAAATGCTGAGACTTCAGTCCCATCAGTCTTCAAAACAATTCAGTATATCAGCTATAAAGGTGAGAGCATTACTGAAGATGAGAGATCCATTATTCAAAAAACATATACTATTCTCCTGCCATGTGCCAGGCACTGTGGTAGATCGTCGGGAAACACATGACCAAGATGCTCCCTGAATAGAAAACTCCATGAAGTCAGGGACTGTGACTGTTCATCACGCTGGCTTCTAGCACTCAACTCAATGTCTATCACAGGAAGGTGTCCAATGCCAACATGGAAGGATGAATGAGTGGCTGAGTGGATGAGTGGGTGGGTGAGTGAGTGGTCAGGTGGGTGGGTGATGGGTGGCTGGGTGGGTCATTGGATGGATGAGTGGGTGAGTGGGTGATTAGATGGGTGAGTGGGTAGGTGAGTGGATGGATGAGTGGGAGGTGAGTGGGTAGTTGAATGGACTGGATGAGTGGGTGGGTGGGTGGATGAGGGGATGGATGAGTGGGAGGTGGGTGGTTGGGAGAGTGGATCATTGGATGGGTCAGCGAATGGATGAGTGTGTGGATGAGTGAGTGGAGGGATGTCCTCCAGCAGCTCAGAGCCTATTGGGCCTCCAAGTCAGAGAGCCAAGAACACAGAAGCAGGAATCTTATGACTGGGGTCTCTTCTTAGCTCTGAAGCCCTTCCACTATTTGACCTTCAACAAGCAGATTCTCGACACTGGTTCTCATTTTCTCATCTTTAAACAGGAGAAAGCTCTGGGAGTTGGTAATGGACCGGGAAGTCTGGTGTGCTGCAGTCCATGTGATTGCAAAGAGTCAAAGAGTCAGACACAACTGAGCGATTGAACTGACTGAAATAGGAGTGATGCTCTTTGATTTCTTCAGCCCCTCCAGCTGCTCCTCTGTAAAAAC